TTCTGACAGAACACGGAGAATTCCAAGGTGTCAGGGAGCCGTCTCACAGACCATGGCCGTCTCACGACAAGCGTGACTGCTGCGTGTCATGAGACGTGAGAAAGAAGGTTCAACCGTGGCGTCCGACCGGTTTCGCAAATTTCTACGACTCCCCTCAGTGTGTCTTGATACGACCCCTATCACCACATATGAGTGGCGTCACCCATGAATATTTCCCCTACCATCGTCCACCACTTCTCTCACCACTAGCTGTTTTCATAGTATTTGGTTCCGAGGCCGGACGCTCCATCACCGCACACTTTTTCCTATTAAATGATTGTCGAGTAGGGCTTAGGTGACTTCTTACCTTTGTGAACCCCAATTATGATCTCTTCCCAAAAATCGCAACGGCCCACCATCTGGATTGAACGTAGGGTCGGTTAACCCCGGTGGGAAGCAATACAGCTGCGCCACGACCGCATCCCACCGTCTTATGGAGCGTTCATAGTTGGCGATCGTAGGGGCGATTAGGCGATGAGGCGATGATTCAAGAAGAAAATTCTACGTATCGATAAAGCGATTAGGCGAGTAGGCGAGTAGGCGATGAAAGAAGGATTGTTGCTTTGTTGCTCCGCCCATTGAGCGATCGTCCAATCGCCTAATCGCCTCCTAATCGCACGTACGATCGCCAACTCTGAACACTCCGTTAAAGAGCACCCCGTGTGTGGTAATTGCAGTGGCTGTTGTTTTGTCGAAATTAGTGTCTAGTATATCAGAACCGCTCCTGCGCAGTAGACGTGCCTCCGTTTAGAGTACCTACATAGGAGAAATGTAGAAGATCGCTTGCTGCAGAAGAGGCAGATGTTCCCAATGTCGAAATAGGGACTGGGTGACCACTAGGGAGAGCTGCAGTTACTCTGCAGAGGGCAATAAAGCTGTTGTCATGACCGCACTCCGTGAATGAAACCTACCCACTTTGACGAAGACGTGATAAGATGATACCAAACTCTGGCATCATGCGTAGAAATCTCGCTTTCGTTGAAGCCTACTTTTTGCAGTCGGTTGGTGGTAAAATCTTAGGCCGCGACTATCTTAGTTCATAGTTCGCGACTCCGGAGATTAGGATAGTACGCGACAATGAAAAACATATGTATTGACGGGGAGATTAGGATAGAAGTCGCCCAATCTACTACTCTCCAGCGATTTCAATCGATACGTATCCAATCTTGTCAGCGCAATCTCCTACTCTACTACTATCCTAATATCCTGTCGCCTACTATCCTAATCTCCCGAGTCGCGAACTATGAACGCAGCCTTACTTGCGGAGCATGAAAGAACGCTTATGTCTACAACGCGTATCGGCTCTTTACAGAGCGTCCAGGGCCAATTTCCCAGAAAGTTCACTGAGCAATGATCCCCATATTACCAACAGTCACGTGTTATCAAATGACTTGAGAACTTTCAGCTGGCAACCGGTCACGCCGTCGTTTTATTAGCGACCGGTTTTGGTTTGAAAGAAAGATGTTTAAAACTATGATGTAGAACCTTCATGTCGTATGATCGAATAGGAAGCGTCAGCTAGGCGTCAACGTGGGGGCGAACTCACCGGTTTATCACCTCGCTTTTTTGAGCGTTGGAAAAGACGAAACATTTCTCTCAGACGCTTATTCTGATGTAATTCTGGGTCCATTGAAACGACTTATCTGAACGAAAATAGCACTGATGTCACAACAGACAACCCAAACAATAAGCTGAAAACGTGAGCTCAACTGACCGAGCATGAGACCAGCAGCTTCGAGTGGTGTTGATGAAAAACTGAGGCACACCGCCAACAACCCGGCATTCTTTTGCAAGAATTTGATAGAAATGAAAACTTCGTAATGTTGTTTTCCTTCACGAAGAATATGTGCATCAACAAAAACTGAGCCCACTGTTCTTGGAATTGACGCCCAATGTCCATAGGATACATTCAAGACAGGGCATTCAGAAGGCGCTCTTCGGTGGATGTGGGAGTGAGCCCAGGAGAGGGGAGAAACTCCAGGGGAGAAACTCCAGGGAAAATAAAGTTGCAGACGTCTTCCCCCAGAATCCTTTCCCCTCCCTAAAACTTAGTCCCTAAGTCTGGAAGTGGCTCACTCACTTCAATAATCCCCATAAGCGCCCAGTTGTGCTTTTTGGTGGTAAGGCTCTTATGCAACGGTGTACGCGAGCTGGGGCTGGTCTCAAGGTCAGCGAACCGATGGACTGGAGGTATAAGCCGACCAAGAAGAGAAGTCTTCAGTAGGAGAGTATTGCTAGGAAATGACGTAACTGCTGCAGGATAACTAATGTCCCCTAGACGCTTAGTGGACAAAAGGCAGCTACATGATTCTGTTTTGTGTGAGTGAGCCAGTAACAAAACTTTCACCCCAGAGCATTCAAAACCCCAAGCTGCAAGAGTTACCGCGACCATCCTGCTGGGTGCGACGGAATCTACAGACGAATTGTCTGGAGTGTGGTTCACTAGGACAGAAAGCGACTTTTTCGCGTTCCGCAGCGCGAAACATCTTTCGCTGCAGGAACCTCAGGTCCATCGCCTGGTCGCATCTCGACGAGAAGTGAGGTGGGACCTGAGTTCAGATGGAGCGAGAATGTTTCCGCGTGCGAACGCAGGAAAAGTCGATAATTACAGTCTTAGTGGACGATACAATTATCTTTGCAGCAAATCATCAAAGGTGACAGGAAGTTTACTTGGAGTTCTGCCAATCTCTACAATATGGCAAAAGTACTCATTCTGCGTATGAACCCTTCATTTCTGAGGTTTTGATTTGCCGTGCTGTAGTTATTTCTGGGGGCTCGGAGATCGTTTTTTGAATGGAACTGGAAATGAAATTGTTTGAAACAGCATTCAGGGGGAGTGTAGATGCATTATCAGATCACTTATTCAACTGCATGATGCAGAGATCGATTACCCGTTGACGTCCTGACCAAGCCGTCGAATTCTTTTCTCCGTTGACTAAGCGGTACGAGATACATTTGACAGATGAAGAATTTCGACTGGCTTTCGCAGTTCATTGCGTGAGTCCAGTACCCACTCAATCGCCACTACGATTGCAGAAGAAGTGGAGTGCGTGGTGCACTCCAGAACAGTGGAGATAAGCGACAGCTTTCCTCATAGTTTTGGTCGTTATTGACCCGAATGTCATGAACTTTGATAGTACGTCGCAGCTCGCCCGGAAAAATCGTAACTGCAGGAAGGGAACGCCGTGCCATCAGTGACCCGGTGGCCGCTATCGATTGCGGTTTGCCACGGCTCTCGACCGCCCGCTTATCCGTTTCGCAAGTTGCCATATTTCTGAAGAGCCGTCAGTTTGTATTTCCCAGAAGATAGCCTCAATTACCTAATGTATATGAACCCGATTTGATAGATATCCCTCGATCGCCGCTTATTGCTTGCAATTCGTTTTTTTTTTCTTCAGTTCTTGTCGACCCAAAGGCCTCGAGAGATTGTTTTTCTCGAAGAGGTGCACATGAAGAAACATTTGGTGGCTGATATGCATGGAATCATATCAGTATTTCTGTCAATAACAGAGAAGGGCCCTCAGGTCGCCAGAGCCATTCAAGATGAGGTGTGTACTCTTGCGTACGTTTTGAAACACCTTTTCATGCTGATTTCTGATCTACCTCCCAATTCGGGCAAACGACTCCCTGAACAGAGATATGAATCTGGAAGCACGGTGGTAGTGGCGCAGGCTCTTGGGCAAATGCCCGTGGGATCGGACCCTTCGCGGGTTTAGTCTTTTGATTTTGTTCTCAATATTTCTAAAAACACTTAAAATTGTCGCGGCTATGGTAGGCAATGGGCAAATTGGTCCTCAGATCTATACTTATTATACGGGTAAATCAGAGAGAGCGATATGATGAAAATAGACTAGAAACTTAAAGGTTTACGATTGGAAGGTAAAACAAGTTAAACAATGAGAGACTCACTCCGAGCAATATGGTTTGGTCTCTGATCGTCTGGACCCCAAACCGCGCTGCGGTCCTCGCTCCGTATCTCAGTTCATCTCATATCTCATTCCCTTAAGAAAATATTTAGCAGATATGGAATTTGTGGTTTGTTCAGATTCAGCATTTGAAGGTGCAGACAGAGCTGTACAACTCATCTTGAACGGCCATCGGTGGCGTCCCATGTGAGCCATAGAGCTTTTCAGAAACGTACAGAGACCGGGAAAAAAGGGATTGGGGTTGACTAAGAAGGAAGGTTAACAACCATTGGTAGGCGGGGCTTGCACCAAAGTGGGCGGAGCTATCCACGAAAATTATCTCGGTTCAGAAGTAAGATGAGGGCCGGAAAGTGGATTAGTTGGCGAAAAAAGGCTTTTGGAAAACAGGTTTCGGGTGAATTTTTTTTTATTGTATCCTGTACTTATGATACTGTGAGGATGAAGTATCAAGCTAAGGGATGTGATCTTCCTCACTTCGACCTTGATTTGTCGGTCTTGCCTTTTTACCCACCGCTCAACAAACTTACATTGAGGCCGCGGTCACAGATTGCGGGGTCACTGTCTGCGCTTTTTCGCCTAAACAGCGGCTCTTAACTGTGAGCTCTTAACTCTTAACTGTGTCTCACTCGTTCAAACCGTTGCCACACTGTAAGTGACTCACTTAATAGAGCCCCCCCCCACTCCCTCAATGCTTGGTTTAGAGTATATCTGGTTTTTGGTTTTAGGCCGAGCCATGAATACAATTCTCCAAACGTCTGTGCTTTAGCCATTCGTGGCTGGAAATTCGCGATCTTGCTTTTTTTTTTTGCTCGAATTGGCACGCATTGATCGTCCAATGCGTTGGTGGCCGAATTACCACACTTCGACTTGTAAATTGTTATAACGTTACGGGGGGGGGGGGTAGGGATGTTTTATATGGACATTTCATGCAACTACGGCAATCTCTAAATTGATTAATCATTTGTTCCTTGTGTTCGTGATCCTTGTAAAATTAATCGTTGACCATTTGCCTCATTATTGTGTTTCAGTACTTCAATGGGCGGAAGAAGATATTGCCGTCCACGAAGTTCGCCGAATTATTTGCGGATAAACACTGGAAAGCTTACTCGATCTACGGTTGGGTAGATCGAAGTTTTTCTTTAGTCATTTGCTCTTTAACTTTACAAAGTTTCGCGGCGAAACGTCGTTTGGAAGCGAACTATGAAGGTTGGTTAGTATTCTGCTAATTCTTGTTGTTCGGGCGTTTATTTGCTGGAGATTTCGATCTCTATTTTGCCCGGAGAGCTCATGCTTTACTTTTACTTTAGCTGCCTGCAAGCAGTTTCTTTTTGATCTAGCCGATGAACTTGGAATTGCAAGAAAGGCCATTGAGGTAGTGCATTAGCTTGGACTTTCGGTATTAAGTTAGTATCACTTTCTCACTGTAGTATTTACTTCTTTCTTCACTTCAGCGCGTTCTGGGGTAAAACCATTTATTATACATGACGATACCGGGGTCACAACCAGAGATGACGTCAATTGTTCTCTATTCGCATACAGACGTAGTGCCGACATTCAAGGTGTGGTTTGCGCCATGGTTTTCTGAGAGCTTGACAGGACAGTAAACGGCGTCATTGCTTTTTTCGGTGAAAAACCTTTTCGCTACGGGAACCTCAACTCCAGCCCTCATCATGACTGGACCTAAGCCTCCCGTAGCGAAGTAGCGCTCTGGTTCCCTTTCTTTGACAGAACTTCGAATTTTAGGAGAGATTCAGTGCAGAACCTAGGGATGCGTATAGAAGAGCAGAACCTACAGCACCCAAGTTGATCCCGTTAGGTGTCAGACTTCCGGTGTGGTTCACTAGGACAGAAACCGACTTCGCGTTTCGCAGCGCGATACGTTTTTCGCTGCAGGAACTAGGTCACCGCTGATCACGGGTGGACCTAGAGTTCCTGTAGCGAATAATGTTTTGCGCACAAAACGCGAAAAAGTCGCTTTCTGTTCTAGTGAACCACACCCCCAGACTTCGCTCAGGCGGTGGGGCCACATGCGATTGCGATCTGGCGCATTACCAGAATTCGCACCGCCTCACTGTTCCGCTCTGCGCTCGCCATTGCCAAAGTCACCGAAATCTGACAACATTCTTAGCGTGTTTTTCGTTAAATAGTAAGCTGCTATACTTTCCAAATTGCGTACCGCATTTGATTTTCGCATTTTGATTCTCGTCAATTGCTGGAATTACTCCCCTGTCAATACGAAATAATTGCACTGAGCTGTATGTTGTAGGACCACAGTGGACGTATGATCCGTACTCTGCTCACAAGGACGAACACGGCAACATCTATGGTCGTGGAGCCCAAGATATGAAATGCGTTGGCTCTCAATATTTCGAAGCGATACGAAGGCATTTTCAACGTGGGAAGAAGGAGTGGAAAAGGACAATACACATTGTATGGGCTCCAGGTAAAAAAAAAAAACCTATACCTTTTACCTTTACCTTTTACGCGATTTGTCTTCAAACATTCCTCCATGTTTGCAAATCGGAACCTTTCCATCTTTCTCTGTCTTGTGCTATTCTTGTCCATTGGTGACCATGTAACTGTACCATTGGATCGCACCATCTCATCTTCGGATGACCCACAGGGCGTTTGCATCCTCGAGGGTACCACTCGGTTAATCTTACTGTCCATCTGTTATCTTTACATCTTGTCACGTGTCCAGCCCATGATTGTTTCTTTTTTCGATATTATTGGTTTTGACGCGAACGAAATAAAAAACATTGCATATAATGAGAAACATGTATTTAAGGGGTTGTGTCATGTCGCCAGTTGTGTGCTTTGTATCTATAGAGAGTTGTTCGTTGTATTCTTCTAGATGAGGAAATAGGAGCGGTGGACGGTATGCAGAAATTCGTGAAAATGCCCGAATTCCAAAATCTCAAGTTGGGTTTCATGCTCGATGAAGGCTTGGTCGAGACCTCTACCTACAAAGTCTCTTGGCAGAACCCGAAATCCATCGTAGTGAAGCAATTACGAGACTTTGCTGATGATAATTCAGATTCTGGTTATTGGATTGTTTAGGGGTTAGGTACATGTAGCGGGTCACGACATGTGTTCGAATTTATGACACCGGCAGCTGAAAAACTGGTATGACGTTCATAAAAGTTTAAGTGTAGTAAGGAGATACTTTCCGCAATTAAATAATTTTATGTATTTCATGCCGCATCCATATTCAGCCTCTTATATTAATATTAGTTGTGTTTTAGCAATCTTTCATCAACAGTGCATTGTCGTTTCGAGAGGAGCAACGTCTTCTGTTGAAAAATGATTCCACAAAACGGCTAGGTGACGTGATTACACTGAACGTTACGAAAGTAGAAGGTGGTGTGCAGGTGAACGTACTGCCGGAGAGCTTTACGCTATGTGAGTTTGTCTTGAAAGTCAGGGGTTACAAAGAGCCGGGGTAATAAGTGTACAAATTGCTTGATACGCAAACAGTGGCATTAAGCTCTAAGTAAGAAGGCTACACTCATAATCACTCGCATTCTTTCCTGATTAAGTGCTCGATATACGCATACCACCAACGGCCGACTTTGAAAAGATGGAGGAACGAATTGCAAGTTGGTGTACAAAAGCTGGACCCGACGTTACCTATGAGTTTATTTTGGTGAGTTTTGTTGAATATTAGTCGGAAAAGCTGCACATAATCCTTTTTTTTCTTCATTCGTCTCACCATATTATGTACACATCGACAAAATCTTCTTGATCTTCGGCCGAAATTAAGGAGTGGTTAGACGGGACCACAGATTTTTTTTCGATAAATCAACGACAAGTTTTTCATCACAACTCATTGTGTCCATCTCAGAAAACCGAAATTTCTGCTGTCACGCCGACGACTGGTGACGATCCATTCTGGTCAGCGTTCAGGAAGTCTCTTGAGGACGAGTAAGTTTCACTTCTTCTAAAATGTGTGCTCAAAATAACAAGTGTACAATTTTGACAATTATGGCTTATCTACTTCTGGATGGGATCGAAAATGGAATGAAGAACTTCCCCGCACCTCTTTCTCTGAAGGCTATAGCGAAGGCCATAGGGCCGGAATCAAAGCTTTTAGTACTTGATCGTGGCCCTGCAAATCTGATTGCACCATTGATTTTCTCTCTATCACCCTGTTCCATCCACCAGAAATCACGCTTCAGACACATTTCTGGTCAATTCGAACTGCTTTGAACTTTGTGATGGCAGACAAACAATAATCAATTGTCTCTAAAACTTTGAAGGCCCATTCCAGAGTAGTAGTTTGGCACCCAGATTGGTGACCATGTTGACCCTGTTCGTTTGAAGTTTTGATACTCATTAGTGCTATACGGGAACATTACGCGCAGTTTCATGCTTCTGAAACACCTTCCCGCTTACTCTTTTCTTGTTAACCGCGTTGAATGAACTCGCTTCAATCCAGCCGCTGGTGGCTGACACGAAGTTCACTTCAGATAATGTCGACCACCGGTGGCTGACTTTGCATTTGTCTTAAACCGTTCTGGTCCGAACGGCCGTTTTCGAAAAACTTGTGCAGTCGCGAATGGGTTAAAGAAAGTTTATAGTCCATATTTGAAAAAAAAGCTCTATACTTTTTAATGATTCAGTTAGCGGTGTTTTTTGCTCATGACGTGACCTCGAACGCCCTCCCCTCCACCAACGTTTTTCTTTGACGGTCTCTTGTAGTATAATTGACTAGAAGTTCACAATATTAAATCAAAAAATGAATCTGTGTTATTATCTTCAGGCTGTGACCGTTATTTTTTAGAAACTGCAAATTTGACAAGGAAATTTTCACCGGCGCCACCGATTCACGATTTGTACGAGAGGTAGTTTTCAGTTATTTGTTTGGCATTGTTATTGTTTGTTATTACATAGCCCATGTTTTTTCCCCAATTTTGGGCACTATCACTAGTTTCTTCACATCTTGCTTCGCAAACTATCTCCAAGTTATACGATATAATCAGCTGGTTACCATAAAATATTACTTCTTCTAGCTCGGGTATCGATCCATCGGCTTCTCACCAATGATCAACACTCCGTCCTTACTACATGACCACAACGAATACCTCAATGAAGCAGTGTTTCTGAGAGGTGTCGAGATCTATGAAACTCTAATTGACAATCTCGCTAGCGTAGAAGATGTATGGTATACTATTTAAATGGAATTTTAAATTCCTCCATGTCTCATGCTCACTATTTGCTGTTTATGCTGTGATATCGAATAACATTTTCCAACGGGAAGATCGATCTAACACGTGAGACGTTTCGATGCTGAGTTATTGTACCGCGAAAGTTTCCCTCTTTTCTCGGTAGTTTTTCGCTACCCTTTGTGCCGAGAAGAAACGGTTTGCAGCTCCCTATAAGATTCTTGGCGCACTTCTTTGCCCTCGGCTTAGCGATAAAGGAAGGCCGCATCGGCTTTATTATGAGGACGGGTAAGAGTTTCTAAGAAAATGCAAGCACAAGCTTCTGTAACTAAGCATAACAGTCAGGAGTATTGAGAAGTACTTGCCTGTAACTCATTCAATTAAAATGGGTGCTCATGATTCTGGGGGGGAGGGGGGGGAGATCGAAAACAGGGTCGATGGTAAGTAGACTAAGACTAAGCCCACCTAAGGGGGGGACGGCCAGGGAGACACATTCATACGCTCCTCCAGGATTCCTTCCTCTTCCTAGGCTTAGTCCCAAGCACAATTGGATCACTCACTCTCGATGCGCCCCCAAGGACATGAGCGCCGAAAAACAAATACTGCTCTCACGAGAGATAATATATGGTAGGGAACAGTTGTGCTTCTGAGGCAAACTTCTTTGACTATGGACGAGGAGATGGGCAACGCCCTGCAGTATGCGGTGTGTACCCTTTACTTGATGACCGAGAACAAATTTGAGGGGATCGGGTCAAATTTGACCCCCAACCACGGCTGAACCTGGGGTACACGCAGCGAAAAATGGTTTGCGCTGGAAAAGCGAAAAAGCCGCTCTCTGTACTAGCGAACGACACCTTCATCACAACACATCACAGCCTAGAGCTCCTACGGCACAAATCCCAAGCAGTTGCCTAATGGACAAGAAACTGATCACAATCGTTTTAGAAGAGGACTGCATGTTTCTCTAATTGCCATGAACAATCTCAGGAAGGTGCGCGGTAGGATTCGCAGGGACTGGGCGCATATAATCTGCCAAATGTAACTACAGTGGGGATCAGAACGGAGGTATTTGAGAATTCTTGAAATAAAAATGCTATCCTAGGCTTTGGTTTACTATAGACCCTTGTCCGGGCTTTCCACTAGGAAGGACCCACCTCACCTGGTAAGGGCAGAACAGAACTGGTGCAGGGCAAACTCGCTGACTCATCAGCTGTCACCAGTGGCAGGTCAACATTTCAGTTCTAAGATGGATCATAAGCCATAACGATTGTGGGAGCAAAGGCTTGCATAAAGTTCACAGCTGATGAATTCATTTTGAAAAATCCCTCCAGCCCATGCACCACACTTCCGCCACGCAGTCGATGCTCAAAGCAACGAATGAATTTGACAAATACTTTTGGTTCATTGAACAATAAAATTGAATGCATTATTGGTTTCTTATAACTGTAGCAACTGGTTTTTTTTTCTACATGACTCAAAAACATGTCGCTACAATTCTGGCACAAAGGCTATTATGGTGTGGTTTGGTAGAACAGAAAGCGACTTTTCGCTTTTCGCAGCGGGAGCCCCAGGTCCTCACTCTAATCACGGCTGGACGACTCTATGGAAAAGCTCACCGGCGGCGCGGACGCGTTTGCGGGCTAGTGACGTCACAGCGGCGGCGAGGGAGCCAGTAAGCGCCAGCTCTGCCACCAATACCTTTATACGTTAAAGGACGAATTCACGATGAAAAAGCAACCCATTTCAAATTAACCTAGGGATGGTGAGTGGTACACGAAAGAAGGAAAAACCATGGAAACGGCCCAGAACCCGAGAAATGGGACCCCTTCCTTGCCCGTTGATTTGCGCATTGATGCGACTCTCATCGCTGTGCTCAACACTACGCTCTCTCTGCTATCTAATCACTCGCCACGTATAGACCTGCGGCGAGTGATTAGATAGTCGGTGGGCGTACCCGCCAACCGCGCCAAGAGTGAGCCATGCTAGATCGCCGAGGTCAAATCTTTCGCTGCCAATTGCGCGTCAGCACCCTCAGGAGGTCCGCCTGTCTCCCAACTAGGCCATTTCCCCCTTCTTCGACCTTCATTCTTATCGTGAATTCGTCCTTTAAGTAGTCAGAACACCTATCGCGTTCCTACTTCGCTGTGTAATAAGTAGAAGTAAGTAGAAATCGAACTCGAAGAAGGGACTTGGTTCAGTCAACATCAATTTGACTGTGTACTCCTAAGGGTTTGCACATGAAAGTCCGATTTCTTCCACACTTTGGAAAATTCCAATTCCTAGTGCGAAATAATACCTGCACATAATACCAGAAACCCGATACTACTGAGGGCGGCGGCGTTGGCCGATTGCTTGCCCTTTGCTTCGAGCCTGCCGTAGCTGTGACGTCATTTTGACGTCACCAGCACGCGCTCGCGTCCGTGCCGCCGGTGAGCTTCTCTCTATTCCCCGGCTGGCCCTACGGTTTCCGCAGCAGAGAAGTCTTGCTGTGGAAAGCGAAAAGCCGCTTTCTTGTCCTGGCGGAACCGCTCGCAGCTTAAATTGTTATCTTATTTGAGGTAAAATAAAGAGGTCCTGTTGTGAGGGTGGGGTATTTTCCGCATTTTTGCACTTGTGTAGTGAGTGGTACTAGTAGACTTAGTACTTGTAGTGTAGACTTTGAATACCTTTACATGCATTCGGTCAATTGTCACAGACAACAGCTAATGTCATACAGTCGATATCCGAAAGTTGGGGTAGGTGTGTCACCGGAAGTGACGTGCACTTGATAGAAGTTGCGTGGATAAGCTGTTGCCAGCATGCTTTGCTGATATCCAGCGATGTATGTTGGAAGCAGCTTATCCACATAGCTTCTATCAAGTGCACGTCACTTCCGGTGACACGCCTACCCCAACTCTCGGATATCGAGTATAGATATGTTTTGTCTCCCATACCGGGGCCTGTGCAGTTGCAGAATTTGATGTGGAATTGACGTGGC